GAAACAAACGAAATGGACATTATTAAAGACATTAGTTCGATGCCCAAAAGTGTTTATAGAGCTTTAGTCTTTTCGGAATATATACAAATGAAATTGCAAAATATCGATTTTAAAATCCTTAAGGACTTTCGTAATATGGCAGATTCTGAAGCGTTCCTTAAGTTACGTTATAAAACGATCTGAGCCAATCATAATTTAGTTGAAAAAAAAAATTTAACCAGTGCTATGTTATTATTATAACATATGCATTAAGTAAAAGTGTATACAATATTAATTAGACTAAATACATTTTGTTCTATTGACGACTTGTAATAATTGGTAAAACATATTTTCTTAGTTTATAAATAATCTTTTAAAACTGGCATTATTTCATTCATCGAATTATGTAATTTATTAACTTTTCACTCTGAATTATACTATTATATTGAACTTTGTTTTTTTTGAAAAGTGAGTTTTTTATTCGAAATATGATTGAGTTTTCGATTTTGCGGTCGTTATAAGTTGTGTTAACTGTCTATCCTGAATAGATGATGAGGATTTAAATATTGGACATTTAAAAATGCAAAACTGACAATATACGGATAGCTTAATTTAGAGACATTATATGTACCATTATTTTACAGCCGAGATTAACTATACCTTTACACTACTTTATAGTACTTAACCATTTTTTTTATACATTTTACAACGATTAAAATTTGAACAATATTTTTTTAACCACGTCTTTCAAAAAAAAAAAAAAAACAAATTATTTTTTATTAAATATATAAATAAAATATAATAATCATTTTTTGGCCGAAGTTTAAAATGGAAACCGCTTGGGCCATAAGCTATAATAAAAGTTAAAAAGCTATAATTTGTTTAGATGTGTTAGTTGATATATTCTTTTTATTTCTTATATATCTTAATATTACAATTATCATATGATTTTTTTTAACCCCCAAGTCTATTTTTTCGGTTGGCCTTCGGTCGTCGGAACAACTGGCATGTTACCGAATACCGCATAACTGGTCACGCTGTTCGCACCCACCATATACGGTCACATGTGCGTGGATGTTCATACCTTACATACATTTATGAAGTAATAATTGTTTCAAATTTAAATATACACAATATATGATGACTTATCTTCATCATTCGATTAAATGTATTTAATTTAAGATATTTAAAAATATTAAATATATTTTAGATATTGTGAGTACAGATCTTAATAAGTTATAGTACTAAAAGTTATTTGAGTAGAATAGCTTAGTTAACAGTAATCTTGTGTAAGAAACCAACTTTGAAAAGTTTTGTTTACCTAAAATCTGTTTTTAAATAAACCGATGACTTAAAAACGCTGCGTTCAAGTGTACACACTACGTATTTTGTTTTCTGTTTTTTTTTTGTCTTCTGTATCGTTCAGACTGAACTATTATTATACAATCTAACCAGAAGTTTAAACAACGGTTTCAACAAAAAAAAATTTGTTATTATCAGGTTTGACGTGCCTTTGCAGTTGCCGAACTTAAGTCAAAATCGTTGATAAAAACACCTGACTGGAATAATATAATCAATGAAATAAACCAAAAAACATACAACTATTAGAAATGATCATTAAAAAGATTTTCAAAAATATGATTTCATTTAAAAAAATACTTTTAAAATTTAGAACTGGAGGTGGAGTGCGGTTGAGCAATGCCCGTCGATAAAAAAAATACTTCACTCCATCTTTTCTCCCGTCCTAAAATAATTATTCAAAACTGGATACTGATCAATCGACATTTTTAGATTATTATTGTTATATGAAAAAGTTAATATAAAATATAATAAATCTCTTCAGATAAATTGATAAACCTGTACATTTTATACTTAATGTGATATTTTTGTATGTTAAGTTTAAAATTTGTTCTTTTCCTTATAAGAATCGAATGATTCATAATATATCTTTATAATAAAGGGACGAATATATAATTTATCTTCTATAAAATCTAAATAATAAAAAGTCGATTTTTTTTAAAAAACCTATGTTTGATTGTTTATAAAACTATATCATTTTTTTTTTAAACTAAAAATTATGAGTAATAATTTTCATTTGTAAAACTGTATTAATTTAATTCTATTTTAGTATTCATATTTTGATGTATTCGTTTAATGGAACCAAAAAACCGTACAATCTGCCTGACACACTTTTTAAATAAATATTGGTTTATTTTTTTGTTTTTATCGATTTTAAAGTTTTTTCACAGTCTGTAAGTCTGCGTGTAAACGAGTGTTTTTAAATATAAAATCAGTATTTCCTATCCGAGTTTTTTGAACCAAAAATTCTTGTATTTTGTAAACAGTCGAATAAACAGAACGATTTCAAACATTCCAACGGTCTAAAGAGTTTAACGAGATGACGGTGGCGAGCAAAACGGTTTTGCTGTTATCGGTCTTAACATTTTTTTATCTTGCTACGTGCATGGGAGACGAAAATAAAAGTACGTTAATTAGGAAACTAAAATCGTTTCAAGATATAATTTCTGTATTCGTGAAAAAAAATCCCTTGGAGAAGGGCGAAATAAACGAAATGAATGTGGATGAGTTAAAATCAAACTTGATGAAAGAATACAAAAACGTCAGGTGTAGCTACTTGGCCGTGTGTTTGGTTTACTTGAATAAGGTAAGAGGACTGTTGACGTTATCGTTACAAAATACAAATTTTAGACAGTTGATTCCGAGTTATCACTTTGGTAGTTTAGTGTCGGAATCGTCCAAAATGGTGGCCACTTCAGTGAAAACAGTCGAGCTGAGCGCTATCAAAGTGTTAATGTGGATGTTTCACGTGTAGGCCCTATGGCTTGACGCTAGGTTTGCCAATGCGAAACCGGCTGAATTGTATGTCTCTGATGTGGTTTTGTTGCCTGCTCACCAAGCGCTCTATGAACTATTGAAGGCGCAATTCTTTTGGAGGGATGTTCACAGACATTGGTGAAACGGATCGATCTGGAGTCGATGAAAAGAAAGCTCACCGAACCATTTAGTTCAGACGATATTCAAGCGTCGCTGAACTCCTTGGTCTCAAGAAATCGTTATCCACTCAGTTGATGAAATATCAGAAGAACAATTTGACGTCGTGGGAAGGCTGGAAAAGTTGTATTATAGAAAAACTCTGTTTGGCCGACATCGTGTCGGACGCACTGGTCATGAACGACTTACAAGAGAAATTCGGAATGATGAAAAACGAGGGTTTGAGCGAAATGTTGAAGTCAAAGTTCGAGAAAGTGTGCGTTCAACGAACATTATCTTTGGCCGACACGATAAAAGAGTTGAGAAGACTTCAATAAACTTCCATTCAAATGTTAAAAGTGGTGATGGTAAGAATAATTTGGTATTTTTTAGACTCGGAGAAGAATTCCAATGCCCGCCGTAAACGCTCGTACAAAAAAGTGATTATTAAGATTTTAAAAAACTTCACGGAATTCTTAAACTTGCGTGACGACGAACACATGAAAACGCTTGTTGTTTTATTTAAGAATAAATCAATATATAAACCTAAGTATTATTTTACAAATATGTTTGAAAAAGGACAAGATGATATACCTATCATACTAGATAGTATAGCGAAAATTGTGTCATCAAATTTCCCCGAATCCATAGTCATCGATTTCAAAGAAGTGATTCTTAAGAATGAACAGACAGAAATAAATAAAATGAGCGACGACATAGAAACCATTATTAGTACAAACGAAATGGTGATTAATGAAGGCATTAGCAAGATGCCCGAAAGTGTGTAAAGAGCTATAGTTTTTGTAGAATATGTAAAACTGAAATTACAAGATATTGATTTCAAAATAGTTAGGGACTTTTCTAATATTCACGATTCTGACGAGCTCCTGCGTTTATTGATGTTAGAAAACAGCCAAAGTCAGCTTTATTCGTGTTGTGAAAAAAAAATTAAAATAGTGCTAGTTTATTAATTATTATTAATTATAACATGTGCATTAAGTAAATAATTACGATATAATAATTGAACTAAGATTTTTTATTATTATGACAACTTTTAATGTTGTACTAATTAGTAAAACAATTTGTTTATAAATAACCTTTTCAAACTGGTATTCTTTTATTCGACATATTGTGTATTTTGTGAAAAATCTAAATTAACAGAAATTATTGTTCTCATTGTTGTTTGTAAGCTGTAGTCTTTTTAGAATAAGTAATGTGAGTATTAATATTGATCTTAAATTCAAATCTTTACATTGTCAAAGCAAACGAAGATTTGGTGAGGTTAGGTTAGGTTAGGCTAGGTTGATGACTACAGTTTACTTCACAGCACACAGATACATATTAAAAATACTAGGGGATTCGATACCGGCCGTTTTTTCAGTCAAAACACATAATTTTTAGTCCATCGCACAGGCCGAATCAGTGATCCGATTAGTAATCTGAAAAAAGTTTTGAATTTTTTATGAAGTTTACTTCAGATCCTACAAGGCAATTATTAATTTACATTACGAAACTGATAATATTTACGGATGACCTAATTTACAGACATTGTAAGTACGAAATTACTATTTACAGCCGATCACTTTAAATTACACCTTTACAAAAATGTATAGTACTTAATTAATTTTTTTTGTATTATACATTTTACAAATATTAAAATTTAAGCTATTTTATTTACCACGTTTTAGAATAAAAACAAATCTATTTTTTATTAGCTGTATAAATAAAATATAATAAACATTTTTTTGGAAGAATTTCAAAGTGCCGGTTGAAAAAACCTCTCGGACCATAAACTATAGGTTTGTTTGAAAAGCTATAATTTGTTTTAGCTGTGTCATGTTAGCACGCGTACTTTGTGTCCTGTCGTACCTTGGATCGTCGGACTAACCGGTATGTTATATCGATTACCGCGTATCTGGTCACACTGTTCGTGTACACATGACGTCACAGGTGCGTGGGTAGCCGTCAGGAGAGTTGGCGGCGGCCAAAGGGGTGGAATCGCACGGGGAAAGGACAGTGCGGGGTTGTTCGCCCACGGGACCAGCTTTACCCATTTATCATTCATTCAAAACCTTCGGGCCAAACGGTGTATTGTGTTTTCTTCGCGTTCACCGGCAGCACGCACGTTGGTCGTCTCTTCAACCGCATCGGACTCGATTCGTAAGTACCCTTCTGATATTATTATTAACACACACGGTGGGCCTTTAGTTATTTGGTATTGGAAAAAAAAATATGAATTAGCGACTCGACAGAAAAATAAAAAAGGCTTACCCACAGCAGCAGTGTTATTATATTTTGTTGATCAGTTTTTTAAAAGTTTTTAATTGAAATTTTTAATTTTGTTCTATTCCACTTTGTATTACCTATTTTGTTTGTCTATTTTAAAATTTTCATTCAAAAACGTTCGACCCAAATCGAACGTTTCTATAAATTACATTGTGTTTACATTCACCCCGTTAGCATTTACTCTGAAAATATATTTTTAAAAGGTTTCCTTACTTGTTAGCGAAAATACTTACACTTGTATTTGATTTAAGTATTTTATTTATTGTATTTTGTTCAATTAACGTCCCTTGAATAAAGGAAAGTGGAATGAGTGTGAGGGCAGAACACCTATACTTTTGAAAGTAAATATTGCGTTTGAATTGAAAGATTTAACCGTCACTTAAAGCGTTTTAATGTTAAAAATAAAACGATTCCTTATTAAATTTTCCAATTACACTTGCCCAATGTGCAATGACCTCATTTCGTCAAAATTTGCATATAACGAAATTAATGTAAATTGATTTTTACATATTCAGTTAAGTATAAAAATAACTTTAAAAAAGAAAAATAACTAAAACTTACAGCATGTTAACAAAATATGTTGATATTTTCTAAAAACGTTGTATAATGTTTTTTTTAAAGATTTGAAAACAATTTATGTATTACGATTGAAGAACAACAGTTGGCTTCTGCGTGGCAATTGCAATCGAATCTGCAATAACGTCGTTTCGAGTGGTTTACAACAGCTTTATTATAACACTGTTTACTAATTACTTCCTATTACTCGGCCACCGGAACCGGCCTTGCAAAAAGTCTAAGTCCCTTGCACTTAAGTACAGCCGTGAGAGAGAACGTAAAAATTAACAACGGGGCGTTTTTCACTTAAGTAAATGCACAATTGTGATTTTTTCACAGAATTTCATCGCCCGTGGTTAGAAACCACTTTTCCCGCAGCTATATATTACGCAGCCGTACATTATGTTTTACGCTGTAAATCATGTATAATAAGCCACACATTTTATATGAATAATATTTTACTAATACCGCGTGTAAAGATGGTGGACGCCAAGAATAATGCCTCTCGAAAAGGTCGCTGGTGGATGCCTTTGTTTACCTGTTTTGCACTATCTCATTTCTGGTGAATTGCGCATTCAAACGCGGCCCACTGACCTTTTGTCCGACTCGACTAGATCCCATATTTAGTTGATCCAGCGATCGGTGTGAAAAAATCATTCCAACGACGGTCTGACGCTTCTTTTTCAAGTCTGCGCAAGTCTGATGGGAATATAATTATAGGTGTATCATCAATTCAATTATAGCGCGGGCCCGCTCAAAGGGTATCCGTCCCGACTTTTAATCATTTATTATAATATAAGCGAGTCCTCTTTTATATTATACACTATGTGTATTTTAAGTTGGTATTTTTTTGTAAAAAGACTTGTTTTTAGCCGTTAGCAGCGTCGGAAGTGTACGGACCAGATGGGCAACGCTTCCGGCGGGTTCGACCTTGGAGGTTATTTTAAAAAACTTCCACCGAGCTAACTGTACTTTTCTGTTTCCAAAGGGATGTTTACAAACTTAATAATATATTTTCGTATTATCTTACGGACGTCACAAATATAGCCTTTTCGGTGAATATTTGATGTCTATAAGGAAAAAAAAAACCCGACGACATGCCATCATCATTTAATTAACTATTCGCGGCTTTGGGTGTGTGGACAAACAAATTATTTTTGCCTTCGATATAACATATTATAGTAAGAATATCCGATAAACGCCGTTATTGATTTGTACCTACTAAATTTTTTTACCGTGTGAACACTGGACACAACGTCGTAACGTTGAAACGTGTGACCTTTGTCTTGATCGCGCGTGGGCATTTATATACTTACAAAGACCGTTGGGGACCTAGATGGGTTTAAACGGTAAAGTCGCCCACGATTAAAGTCACAAAACAGGGGTCTTGACCAATTGGGACCTTGGAGAGTCTTTATTTTTAAGATTGGCCGAGATAATAAACATTTTAACAACTGTTAACTATTAATTTTCACGACGTCCAATTCAAACGTCAAAAGAAAAATAGAACGACTTAGGTATGTACGTTTTCATCGCCGTCAAAACAAACATATTTATCCATTGATTACATTTGGGGGGGGGGGGAGGAGGAATTATCACATCATAGCCGTTTTTTCGGTGTAGAGTACAGCAGTCAGTGTAGAGCGTTATTCATAATAACAAACAAAAAAATAAATTACTCCAACAGCTATATTTTATTGATTTAAAAAAAAAAACCACTATTAGTTAATTATTCGAATAAAAAATAATTTGATTATTAATCACGACGTTCGCTTAATCGAATAGCTTTTATTTGCGGTTTATTTGAATGTTGTAATATTTAAATTCCACCTTTTTATGTCGGGTAATTATGTTATCACAATAAAAGCACATAAAACGCCGCACGTGCCGTTTTTTTCGTTCAAAAACAAGGGTTAACATTCTGTACACATTTCTGTCCCACATTTATCATACAAAAATGATGTTGACATTAAAAGAAACATCAAGACTTACACAGGATGATCTATTTAACGCAAGGTACTAATTTTCTCTGAAAACAATTACTATTTTGTAGCTTAACTTGGAGACATTTAAGTTAATAGTACTGTACAGTATTAACAATATTTAATTTTTTATCTGGTTTGGTAAATTCTAGTTTTCTTTTAATTTTCGATACTTAAATGGCACGGTATATATTTTATTTACTTTTTAAAATTAAGAATAATTTACATAAAACTGTTGACTGGCCGATTACCAGTTTTGAATAACATAAACGTACATTGTGTAAAAAAGAAATTTTGCGATTATTTATTGTAGATATTGAGTGTCTTACGTTAATTTATCATCCTGTGTTTTACCTTCTTGACGAGATTCTTGTTTATTTTCATAGTAATTTTCCAGTTAACACTAAATTGGAAGATTCTAAAAATATTTTTTTTTTGACACTGAAATAATGACCTGAGTTTTAAAATACTGAAATCAAAAGCTCATCGACAATACTCTGTTTAAGTTCTCTATTTTTTTAATACCCTTAAAAATACTTTTTATTCGAATTGTTGATAAAGTTGTACTGAGAAAGAGAAGGGTTTCTTATCGAGAAAAACGTTTTTCATGGAAGGAAAAATAAAAACTAATAAAGTAATGTTTATTACTATACTTATAAATAATAAATAAACATTAGTTGTAACTTGACATTTGAAAAAATGCAAATATTTTTATTATATTTTAATTATCAAAATTATTTTTTTATCCGAATTATATTCGAAAATGTATTATATTAAATGGTATGTTATATTCTAATAAATATTAATATGTTTTTCGATTTGTTTTTGTTGTTTTTCGTAATATAATTCAATTTTTAAATGGGCGAGACACCTGTATATAAATGTACACACTTGTGTATTTAGTGGCTTCGAGAAATTCCTGGATTGGAAACCCAGTCGTTTTTCAACAATGTAGTCGACCTGCTGAATGTACACTATCCCTTAGGACGCAGCTTTTTGCCAAGGGCTCGGTGTAGTTACTATTTTTTGCTTGTTTATGTAAAATAAAACATAAGTTTAAAAGAGAGCACAGCAACCTAATGAGCTCCTGCATGATACGAGAACAAGTCAAATCCCCAAGACGGTCGTTTGTAAATCACAGTGGTTTGATGGCTAATAATTACATTAATACTATTACCTCGAGTCGGCCATTCGCGTTAATCCCGCTCATTAATTCCACCGAATTCCAACACCTTCAATCCAACCGAAACCACCGTCCACTTAAGGTTTGATCCGTTGACGAATGATTATTATTATCAGCCATCTGGGTATACTGCCCTGTTATGTTGTATATCGCACAAATGAACGGAAAGGACTACATATCGGATACAACAAAATCGGTCCAACTTGTTCTTTTACCCGGTATTGACACATATAAACATACAGCTTTACTACGAGTATTTTCCTTTGACCCGGGTTAACGGGAATTGAACTAAAACAAAAGAAATAAAACATAAACATATATATATATATATATTTATATACATATAAACATATTTATATACATAAACATATATATATATATATATAAATACTTTGGTTATATATATATATAACCAAAGTATTTATATTAATTATTATTTGATCAATTCCAAACACATATGTTATAGAAACCATATACCACGCAGCAATATTTTAAAGAATACAATATAATGGGATTTACTAAAAAAATGTTCTCTCGTGGAAAATATTTTGTATATTTTCTTTGGCTGTTGTGGACAAGAGCAGAATAATTGGCATTGCCCTAGTTTTGGATGTATAAGCACGTTTGCTTGGCATTTGCAAACGTGTAACTACCAGATTTCAGTAATGATCTCATTTTGTTGAGAAATTGCCGACCGTGCGCCCAAGTAGCCTCTACAGGAAGTCAGTTAATTATTATTATTATTCTTACCTCACCGCGTGTAATCTTACCGGTGATCAATAATAAAAAATATTTTAAAAATGCGCATTTTAATTCGGACAAACTTTTTTCGAATAAATTAACTCGCCGAGTTAAATTTTCCAGATTTTATAACAAAATATATTATATGTAAATTTGTTAAAAAACTTACTAATTTACGCGTGGTTTAATTGGTTTGTCGTGTATTTTTTTTTATATAGAATAAAAAAGTAATCAATACCTTATTAAATATGAAAAAAATAACAAACACATAAGTGTTTTACTTTTATAATTTTAGACAACTCGAGGACTTAATTAAATGTATTGTTTTTAAATACCTTGTTCGTTTATTTAATAACAAAGTTTTATAAGTTCATAATAATAATTAAAAGATTAAAAAAACAAACAATACCATA